TTTTACTCGCGGGTTCCCGTGGACCCTTGAGTCAGTCGACTAACACTCGTTGACGAGTCAACCTCTCAGTTAATAAGATTTCATCCAATAATAATATGAATATAATGAATATGAAGTGTATTGTTTGCGAGAGGAGTTTTGTGCCCAGCACCTGTGATAGGTGCTGGTGCCGTTATTGGCTGAGAGCAGCCAGACGCCACGCGGCGTCGGGTTACGAGAATGATTTTTTGCGGGCCCTGGCGAGGGCTCGGACGCCTCCGAGAGAGGAGGAGAGCTCGCAGCGCGAGCAGGTGAGGGTGAGAACATCTCTGCGGAGCCCGCAGCCAAGGGTCAGGAGCCCGCAGACACCGGTGCCACAAAGCCCGCGCGAGGATGCGCCTCTGCGCATAATTGTGGATGTGGCCACTGATACGAGGACGGTCGCCTTCTACAATTAACGTGAGTATTTTTTAAATAGCTATCCTTTCTTCATTCTATCTCTCTTTGCATTCTTTTAAAATATTTGGCTCCTTTGTCTGTTGCAGATGGCGACAGATAGGCGCGGTGGAGTGTAGGGCTTAACACTCAGTCCTAGTATTATATTCATTTATTTCTCTGTCTTATTTTTTATATATAAATTTTATTTTACTATAATCGTGACTAATAATAATAACAATAATACGTAAGAAATAATATTACGTTATAATAAAAACTTTAATTTCAATCATAAAATAATACTTTTTTTAATTCTTCTCCTCTTCCTTATTTCTCTTCGCAAGCGATAACGGGTGGGGCCCGTGCGCAACGGTGGCGACTGCGGCGGCGGCAAACGCGGCGGCGGCGGCGGCAAACGCGAGCGCGGTTCCCCTTTCCCCGCGGACCTACGACGCGGTTCCCCTCTCCCCGCGCATCCCGTACCCACAACGCGGTTCCCCCGTCCCCGCGGATTCACGACGCGGTTCCCCCGTCCCCGCGCATTCCGCACCCCCGCGGTTAGGCCAGTTGAGCGAGCGGCTTTCCGCGGCTTCCCCTTCCCCGCGGACCCCGCATCAGATTGTGAACGTTCTGAGCGGTTTCCCCCTCCCCGCGGCTTCCCCCGCGGACCCCCCTCCCCGCGGACCTCCCGCGGACCCCCCTGCCCCTCACCCCCCTCAGAGCTCCTGGTCCAGAACCGGCCCTTACTAGCTACTGATGTGAGTAGTTGTGATCAATCACAATGTGGTCAAACGGGATGCTCCCATTATTAATTAAATGTACTTGATTTTTATATTTTTGCAGATTGATGAGGAATTTGAAAGATTATATAAAGGGGCCTCTGATAAATTTTTGGTAAAATTTGTCACATTTTATGTACCAAGAATCCTCATATATTGCAGTACAGCAAAACCAGATTTACTTAAAAAGTCAACTATTATTGAAGATGGTACACTTATTTTATTGTAATTAACAAAGGAAATTTCAATTTAATTTATTATAATATTTTTTATAATTATTTTTAATGAATATTAAAACACTAATTTTAATTTTTTTTTAAATATATTCAGATGCTCTTCGTGCCATAACTCTTCTGGCAAATTTACTTCCTGTACCAAATGCTGTAAGGAAGGGAAAAAGGAAAAGAAAAGGATCAAGCATGAGAAACTTATCAAAAAAAGTAAATATTTTTCAAATCTTGTTCTTATTATTTTTTAACGTAAATACTGATGTACTGATGTAAGTACTGATTTAAATGTGCTTGCTAAAACACAATTTAAATATTTGGATGATTAATTTCAGAAGAACATTGATAAAGAATGTGATGATGAAATTTCTCCACCAACATTTCCAAATCCTTCTTTACTACAGATATGGCCTGTAAGTTTGATTAGTGCTTTTAAATTTATGTATTAATACTTGTTAACAAAAAAATTATTTTTTTAGGAAGGAACAAACATAGAGGCACAAACTAAGAAATTCAGAAGTGAATCACATGGTCCTGTCCAACCCTATATTATTTTAATTAAGGGACAATCTGCACAATATTTTGTTCAGACTGATAATCATACTTTAACTTTAAAGAATAACTCGCCTATTGCACTTGCCTAATGCAAGTGCCTATGGCACTTGATTTATGGTTTAAAGTGTATTATGTTTTTGATGTAAAGTGTCCAGAAACACTAAGTTACTTTTTTAATTTTTTAGAAAATTATTGTTTTAAAATATCAGATAAGGCACATGCTTTAATATCTTCTACTAATATTAATATTTCTAATATTACATTGACTACATAATATTCTTTTATTATAAGTATAAACATATATGTTAATTATTAACTTGGTTAGTTTTCATATTTTTTATGCATGAAATTTTTATACATATATCTATGTCAGTAAAACTTATATATTGATATAAAAAAAACTTTTTAATATATATATTATGTATTCTGTTAAAACTTATATTAATATATATATATTTAAAAAAATATGTAGAGTACATAAATACTATTTTTCCTTTTTCTTGCACAACATAACATTATTCAATAAACACCAATAAACAATAAAGAAACCTTAATATTATAATTTTTTACTCAATATTGTAACTGTGTTTTAATAATGTGTTAATTATAACACATATTGTAACACAGTTAAATTTTTTAGTAGAAAATTATTATATTAAAATTATTACTGTTAGTTGATTAAATATTTACCGATTTGAATAGTTCATATTACTGATTTAGCTGTCTAAAGTCACAATTTCTAATAGTCTAATATTACTGGTTAAAAAAGTCAATATTTTAACTAACTCTTTCAGTGAAATTTTACTGATTCGAATAGTTCACATTACTGATTATGCTGTCCAAAGTCACTGTTTCAAATAGTTTAATACCACTAGTTAAAACAGTCCATATTATTAACTAATTCTTTCAGTGAAATCTTACTGATTTACAGTGCTATATTTATAACTGCTTTCATTAGCGATTATTTACTGTTTTCCAGTAATAATACACTGATTCACTTTTAGAGAGATCGTAAAATTGGCAACAAATCATTATTAAAAAACCATAACAATTTCGATGAAAACTTGTCGTTTTGCTTTATTCATATGATCGCGAAATCAAATTGTGTATCTGATATCGTTTGGGAGTGTTACATGTTAGATATTCATGAGAGGGAAGACGCGTGGATGGTGGGCCAGAGGGTGGAGGCCGAGGAGCGTCGGAGATTCCTGGTAAGTACAAAAAAGCTTCGCGAATACTCTCGGATAAAGACGATGTTTTTTTCTTTCAGAGATACCTTTTCAGTAGCGATGATGATGACGACGACGACGACGATGACAACGACGCGAGGGCGAGGACGCCTCCGCGGGTGGAGGTGAACCCACAGTTCGAAGTACCGTGGGACAACGGCGCGAGGGCAAGGACGCCTCCGCGCGAGGAGGCGAGCTCGCAGGAGGGCCCGCAGGAGAGCTTACGGGAGAGCCCGCGGTGCGAGAACGAGGACGCCGCAGGACAGCGGCGCGAGGGCGAGTCCGTGGGTGGAGGTGCCGAGGAGTCCGCGCGAGGAGGTGCCTCTGCGGGTAACCGTGAATAATGTGTCCACAGGGAGCAGGACAGTTGCTTATTACAACTAATGTAAGTATTTTTTAAATAGCTATCTTCCTTTCTTCTTTTTTTTACATTTTTTTATATACTCTCCCCTTTTTCTGTTGTAGATAGCAACGAATAGGTGGATTTCCCTCACATTCAGATAACATTTTTTTAAACCTACTGAATATTTTTTACAGTATTTGAATTTTCCAAAAAAAATTTTTAGTATTTTAATCATAATATTTTCTTTTTTCTTCTCCTCTTCGTTTCGCGTACGTGCGATAAGCGCAGTAGGGACGGCGGTACCGCGGAGTGGGACGGTGGGCCCATGAGCGCGGTGGCGGCGAGCGCGGGGTGCGACGGCGGGCCCGCGAGCGTGACGGTGGCGGCGAGCGCGGCGGCGCGGTATCCCTCTTCCCCGCGCACCAACAACTCCCTCTTCACCACGACACCCGCACCTACGACGCGGTTCCCTCTTCCCCGCGGACCCCGCACCTACGACGTGTTCCCTCGTTCCCGCGGACCCCGCACCCGCGGTCAGGTCAGCCGGAACGAGCGGCTTCCCCCTCCCCGCGGCTTCCTCCTCCCTCGACTTCCGTCCCCCCGCGGACCCCTTGCCAATTACCCCCCCTCTCGGGGTTCCCTACTTAGAACCCGCCCTTAACAGCTACTTGTCTGGACTCTTTGTCAGTGTACCCAGTGCAATGTTTGCTGCCGTCCATCGCCGCGCCGCCCAGGCCCCCCTCTGTTGGACGCTCACCGGTGCAAACACGATTTCCGTATCGAGGAGCAATTGTCCAATTCCTCTGTCCAATTCAATCTGTCTAATTTTGCGAAAATCTTTCTTTGTTCCATCACCGTTCGAAGGAGAAAAATGAACCACACATACACACCACAATAAAAGAAAAGAGGGCGAATTTATACACGCATCGCCCACATATTTTTATATTAATTTCGTATATCCTACATTGTTCTTAATTGCAAGTTTCTTTTTCTTGCAGGCAGCGCACATATTTTAGAAGTAGTATACACATATCATACACGTTTATATATATATATATATATATATATATATATATATTATAACTTCTTATACACTGCTCAAAAAAATTATGGCATAGAAAAATTTTGAGCAAAAATTGGTCAACTTTGGTTAACGGTAACTCCGCAAAAAATCATTGTAAAATGATGAACTTTTTTTCAAATGAA